ATACAAAGGCATGAACATCAGGAGGCAAGAATCATTGGAGGCCATCTTGAAGGCTGGCTACTACAGTCCACCTCTGTCCCCAATGATTTAAGTCCCTCCCACATGCAAAATCACTTGTTTTCCCAAGACGCTCCAAAATCTCATGCTATTACACCATCTGCTCAAAACTCAGAATCTTGTCATCTAAGTATTCAGTTCCTTAAGTACCACTCCTCCAGGGTAGTTCCTCTTAATCTGAAGTCCTGTGAACCCAAGGGACAAATTATTGCCCATTCCCACCCACAAACACTCAACATATATTAATAACTGCTATAGACAGTCTCGTTCAAAAAGGGGAAATATGGAAGGTACAAAGGAATGGTTGTTGTTTCTAGGTGCTATTGAGTTGGTTCCTAGTCACAGTGACCTTATACATAACAGAACAAAACGTTGCCTGGTCCTGTGCCATCCTCACAGTTTGAGCCCATTGTTGCAGTCACTGTGTCAATCCCTCTCATTGAGGGTCTTTGTCTTTTTTGCTGACTCTCTACCAAGCATGATGTCCTTCTCCAGGGACTGGTCCCTCCTGACAACACATCCAAAGTATATGAGTTGAAGTCTCGCGATCTTTGTTTCTAAGGAGCATTCTGGCTGTACTTCTTCCAAGACAGATTTGTTTGTTCTTCTGGCCGTCCATGGTATGTTCAATATTCTTTGCCAACACCGTAATTCAAATGCATCAATTCTCCTTCGTTCTTTCTTTTTCAGCAAGTGTAAATTGGAATTTCCTTGATTAGGACTCAAGGCCTGGGAATAATTTTGTGGCTTTTGGATCTGCCATCTGACTTACCTTTCTTTTTCCATAAAAGGTTCTCATGTTTATAGCTGCATTAATTCTCAGTCTGCTTCTTGTCCCATAGAAGTTTGGCAATCCGAAGGCCTCTTTTCCTTTTTGTACTGTCTCTGTCCCATTCATTGCAAGCTGGCGGTATCTCTGATAATGCAATTCTGTTATAAACTGTGCAGGTCTCCTGTGAATCTTTTTTGGGAGGTACACGTCATCAAACAAAATCCATACCCACAAATATCTTTGAGATAAGCCCTTCTTTCTTTGAGCTTATGTTGAATTGGCCAAAGGTCAGCACACTTAAACTTCTTATAAGCCCTTTGGTTTGAATAGCTCTCTAAGGCACCATTATATCTTTCTAAAGTTTTAACAAATAATTTTACAACTTCATTTTAAAAAAAAAAACAACTTTATTGAGATCTAATTCACATATCGTATAATTCATCCATTTAAAGTGTACAATTCAATTGTCATTAGCAGATTTACAAGTTGTGCAACAGGACCACAGTCAATATTAGAACATTTTCATCACTCTAAAAAGAAACTTTATTCCTTTAGACATCATCCTCCAACTCCCCATCCCACCAACCCTGGAAAACCACTAGTCTACTTTCTGTTCTGTAATTTTCCCTATTCTGGACATTTCATATAAATGGAACCATACATCTTCTCTTGTAACTGGCTTCTTTCACTTAGCATAATGTTTTCAAGGTTCATTCATGCTGTAGCATGCAGCAACATTTCATTCTTTTTTATTAGCAGTTAGTATTCTATATTATGGATATACTATATTTTATTTATCCATTCATCAGTGGATAGTCACTGGGTTGTGTCTACTTTTTGGCTATAATAAAGTATACTGCTGTAAATATTCATGTACAAGTTTTTTTGTGGACATATGTTTTCATTTCTCTTGGAATGGAATAGCTGTGTCGTATGGTAACAGTAAGCAGTATGTTTAACCATTTGCAGAAGTGCCAGACTGTTTTCCAAAGCAGCTGCATCATTTTACATTCCAGCAGCAGTGCATGAAGGTTCCAGTTTCTCCACATTCTCATTAACACTTATTATTATTAGTCTTTTTCTCCCCCATACCTATCCTAGTGTGGTATGAAGTGGTATCTCATTGGAGTTTTGTGCATTTCTCTGATGGCTAATGATATTTAGCATCTTTTCATGCAATTTAATCTTTATGTTAGGTTTTCCTTATGGTTCCCTAGATTTGATCTTTGCCTGAAGGCCATTTCTTAATTTTAGCATCATTTGCTAACTGGAGAGGCCAGGACTTTTCAAGCCCAGCAATTCCTGGCTGTTTTTTATTTAATACTCTTTCTTCAGTGTATTTCTTTCCTCTCCTATTTTACTATAACCAGCAAGAAGAAGCCAGGCAGGACTTCTAATACTCTTGTTGGAAATCTCCTTAGTTAGATCACCCAGTTTGTTAGGTACATTTCCATATTACTGCAGGTAACAGTGTTGCTAAACTTTCTGCCACTATGTAAAAATGAGCCCCTTTTCTCCAATGTCCCAAAATACTTTCCTTTAGTTTTAAGGAAAACTAGTAATACAGCCTTCTTCTAAGGCATTTATTTACACTTTCACTAACACTCTTCTCAAAGTGTTCTAGCTCTGCCCATTGCTGGTTCCAAAACTTCTCCCGTATTTCAGTTTTTGTTATGACAGCACCCTATTTCCAAATACTAAAATCTGCATTAGTTATCTATTGCTGTGCAACAAATTACTCCCCAAATTAGTAGCTTAAAACAACAATAAACATTTATGATCGAACACCTTGTGTGACTATCCTGTGTTGTTCTGATTTGTGGTCTCTCACGAGGCTGCAGTCAAGATGCCTGCCAGGGCTGGAAGACTCACATCCAAGATCAGTCTCTCATGTGGGTCACAAATTGGTGCTGGCCGTAGGTAAGCGGCCTCAGTTTCTTCCCATGTAGACCTCTTCTTAGGATTTGGTGTTGGCTTCCCCTAAAACAAGTGATCCAAGTAAAGCAAGGCAGAAACTGCAATATGTTTTATGACTTAGTTCATCATCCACACATCAGCATTTCCACAATATTCTTTGGTTACACAGGTCAACCCTATTCAGTGTGAGAAGTGTGACTATCAGGCCTATCAGGAGACAAGAGTTATTGGGGTCATACTGGAGACTGGCTACCACAGCAGGGGAGGCCAGGGCACAGTGGCTAAAGTTGAACCTGTGGTCACGCTATAGGGGGAGGAGGGTGTAGGCAGTTTCAGCCTCCCCTTACACCTTTGCCAGGCCAGTCCTTCCGTAACTTGGTAATGAGCTTTGGTTCTGGAGTTACTCAGGCCTGGATTCAAACTCTGACTCCACCACCTCCTGGCTGTGTGACCTGGAACAAGTCACCTAGCCTCTCTGTAGTCCAGTTTTCTCACTTCTAAAAAGGGGATACTAATAGTTACCAAACCTCCCTGGGCTGTTACAGCATTCTGCCCAATAATACATGTCAAGCCCTTGGAAACCTGCTTGGCACATCATCAGTACTCAATAAATACTGGCTGTTATTGTTATTAGCATTATCACTGTTATCGTAGTGAAGTCACTGGATCAACACTTAATTTGATATTAAAAACAAAATTTATTGAAGGAATGAACCTCAGAAGAGCCTGCGTTCAGTTTTGGCTGTAACAGCATGCTCTGCCTTACAGGCAAAACAAAGAGATATTTTAACAAGTGAGTACAGATAACAATTTCACATCAAAGCAATGGCAGGAAATGAGGTGAGATTTACAAGGGTGGCAATTAACTGTAAAACTTTTTTTTTTTTAACATCTGTTTCTAGTCTAACACAAATCTCTCATTCTTGTTACAATTTACCTAAGGCAATATTTCTAAAATGAAAAGTATAAACAATTTCGACATGAAAGTTTAGTGATATAGTCACAGCTGGGCCAACTTAATTGGAATCCTTGGATACAGAACTGACCATTAGTTAGGAAAGTGTAAATAAACTATTTAGCTAAGGGAGCCCTGGTGGTGCAGTAGCTAAGTGTTAGGCTGCTAACCAAAAGGTTGGCAGCTCAAATCCACCAGCTGCTCCTTGGAAACCCTATAGGGGCAGTTCTACCCTGCCCTATAGGGTCACTATAAGTTGGAATCGACTCGACAGCAACGGGTTTGGTTTTTTTGGTTTGGCTTTAGCTGAGAGAAAGGGATAATGCCTAGGCGCTTGCTGAGGAACTTCTTTTAAGGTAGTTAAAAGAACATGTTTATCTATAGGCTCTAATTTATTTTAACAACTCAGTGAAGCTTTTTCTAAGGCCATCTGCTGGAACACTCAACGTAACAAACACGACTGAGCTTTGCTTTTCAAACGGTGCTGAAGCCAAGCGGTTACCGGGAGTGTAGAAGTAAAACCCTCAGTTTAATTTCAGAATAGAGTGCTTAATTTTAGTTCTGAAATTCTCCCAATTAGACCTACCAGCACCTCAAAATTTAAAAGTTCCTCACACTCTGTTAAAGCACGGTGCCAAGGCTGGGCTAGCATCGCAATCAGGACCATCTGGCCTGAGAACAGGGGCTTTCCCCACTCCCTTCTGAAGCCGCCTCCCCGTGGGCCCTGGTTGCACCTAGGAAAACCCTTCTAGGTTCCAGCCCACCATATCCAGTGTATCTAGGGGAAAGGGGCCTAAGCCTTTCCTGCAAAAGTGGATGTGAGCCAGGCACATGGACGAATTGACAGGACAATTCTACGTTTCTGGGCACTACGCTCCCTACACCCTACACACGCTCCCTCGCAATGAGACAGAGAGATGCAGCACCACCACTCCCCCATGCCCCAACTCCCCCGGAGATAAACAACTGCTTTTGCAATAAGGAGGGTGGGTTGGGCGTGGAGTGGGATCTGACCGGTAGGCTGCCGGCCCGGGAACTACACTTCCCAGAAGGCTGTGCCACACACCTCTCTGGGTACGGACGCTCTCTAGGAAATGGAATCCGACGCCTGCGCGGCGCGAAGGCTTCCGGGAATTGTAGTTCGCGTCCGTTCCGCGCAGGCGCATGTTTCGCGGCAGCCGCTCGGGTGCTTCTTCGTGGCGGTCGCTGTCCTTTGTGGGAGGCCTGTGGTGTCCATCCATCCGTCGGCCGGTCTCTCAGTCCATCCCAGGGCCCGACTGCTGGCCGTACTTCACGCCCGCTGGCTCCTGACGACTGAGGCTGGCCCTGGTCCTCGCGGCGTGGGTCGCCCCGAGGAGTGCGTGACGGGGTGTGATGGCGGGCGTGTGCGATTGTGTGTAAACCACGTCTGGGTGTGTGTGTGTGCGTGTGTGTGTTTGCCGCGCCTGCCTGACCCCTCCCTCAGCAGAGGCATAGAGGAGGGTTTCCGTGTGTGGGTGCGTATGATCGTGCGCGTGGGAGCCTGTGGAGCGCTGTGATGGGAAAGTGTGTGTGATTGTGTGTGAGCCCAGTCTGGGGTTGTGGGTATGCGTTTGTTCCTCTCCAGCCTGCCTATCCCTTCTCTCCACTGAGGCACAGAGGAGGGGGCTCCGTGTGTGATTGTACAGATGTGAGTCGGAGTGTGTGTTCGCTGGTGCAACCCTGCGAGGCCCTCCTGCAGGCCGCTGTCCCTGAGTCGTCGGAGGCTACAGAGCTTCCCACCCTCCCGGGGACGCTGCCAAGGGGCACCATGGAGGCCCCGGCCCCGAAGCTGGAGGAGACAGGTACAGCTTGGTTTGGTGAGTGTGGATTTCCACCTCAGGAGACACACTCAGAGAGGTCAGGCGAATTTCCCGGAAGCACCCAGCAGAATCAGGCCTACTGCTTCTTCACTGTGCACAACCATTTGTTCCCATTGTCTCAAGCATGCTGACAGAAGGAGGGGAATGACAATGTTTTTCCTCATTTGTTGGGATGTCTGAGACACTGACAGACAGAATCTCTGATGCTGTATCATTGTGCTGGATATTGGGGCTCACCCCTACCCTGCCTCCCCACCCTGCCTGGGACAGTTCCTGACTCCTCTCTGACCCCCTTCTGTGCCAGGGGTGGGATGGGCTTTAGCTCAGCCGAGGTGTCCGGTGGCTGTGAGCACCACAGCACCCCAACCCCCCTGACTCATTTCTCCTTCTCCAGCTCTGTCCTCTCAGGACCCTGCTTCTCCCTTCAAAGAGAATCCAGAAGATAAGGTGGGTCATGGTCTCCTGGAAGCCAGGTGCGGGGTGAGTGGATATCTCTTCCTCCTTCTGAACTTCTTGTTCTTTATGAAGAGTGTTCGCACATGCCTTCCCCTGCCCTGGCTCTTCAGTCATCCTAGGACCCCCATCCAGGGACCTGCTCTCCAGTCCTTGGGAAACTCTGAGCAGTGGGAACAGCTCCGGTCCAAGAGTCAGGGTGAGGCCCCAGGTGTGCTCTTGAGATGGACGGTCCCTTCCGGCCTGATTCGGCCCAATGGGTGGGTCAGTTGCCCAGGACCTATAAGCCTAGTGCTGTGCTGGGTGCTCTGAGGAGTGGTTTCAGAGGAACGGAAAGAAGTATGTGACAGTTCATACGAGGTCACTTCAGTCATCTCCACAGGCTGGCCAGGGATTGGTGCAGCCCCAGGGGATATTTGCGGAGGTTGGCCTTTGGAGGAGTTTACTGTGATGGAGTCAAGTAGGGGGTGCAGAACAGCTGAGGGAAGGGCTGCATTGCAGTATCGCAGTGAGAGTGATGGTAGGGGGTACATCTCTGTGTGCTTTTTCCCTCACATGGGACCTTCATGGCAGAACCCAGAGGCTTAGAGAATCTGGAAGCACAGGCACAGCAGCAAGGCGGGGCCCTCATCCTTCCTTTGAAAGACTTTGGTCGCTGCCTCTCATTTTGTTCCACCACCTAAACCAGCCCCGCCTCCATGGTGATATTTAGAAGGGTGCAGTTAATAAGGATAGTGTGGTGTAGTGAAAACATCTGGAGAATTGGAATTCCTTTGACTTTTTAGGATTTTGCGATTCTGTTAATCTCCTACTTGAAAGAGATCATTTGATTACGTAAAGGTAGAGAAAGCTTTAAAACATGTCATGTGAGGTGCACTCTTTAGTTCTATAAAAGGCTAAAGAGACATGATAATCAAATGCAATGCCTGATCCAAAGAAATCAATAAAGAGAGATTTAGTCTAGGGCTAATTTTGCCTTGATACTGAAGCAATACCCTTTGGGGGATTTGACTCAATACCCCGTGAATTAGGAGGACTTTCCACTCTGGCTGGTCGGAACACAAACTATTCCCAGCCATGTGTGAGTTTAAGTGATTGTTCTGGCTATTTCTCTCTGGTGATTCTTCCCCTGGCATTGGGTAGTTTCCTCCCATGTACACATAGACCAGTACTCAGTCAGAGTCTTGAGGGGACCCCAGAGTTCTTTGTCTGTGCAGATCCCTCTGCTCTGGGATTCTGCCCTGCAAGTTCTAGCCTCCTTGGTCTCCCCAAACTCCAGTCTCTGGCTCCTTGACTCAGCGAGACCACAGGACCCTGTTGAGTCCCTACTCCCTGTGCTGCAGTGTGGAAATTGCTACCAGGTAGGAAGGTTGGGGTGGCTGGAGGGCTCACTTTGTTTTCCTCCTCTCAGAGATCACTGTCCTGAGCGGCCCCTTGTCCGGTGTTGAAAACCGTTATTTCATATATTTTGTCCAGTTTACTAGTGGTTTAGGTAAGAGGGTGAATCTGGCCCCTGTCACTCCATTATGGGTGGAAACAGAACAAGAAACCCAGTTTATCCTGTGCTGCTTCTTCACTCCTCTAGCGCATGCTCGCTGTTTCCCTCTTCCTCTGTCCCTCTATCCCTCAGGCCCTCCCTCGTTTCTTTTCTCTGTCCTGCCGGCCTTCCTGCCTGCTGCAGAATACAATCCAAACACCCTCTCCTCCAAGTGGGCGTCATCACACTCTGGCCACAGCTGTGCCTCCTGCTGCTCTGATGCACATCATCCACTGTGGCCCGCCAGACGATGTGGGGCTCTTTGCCTATTTTTTGATTGGGGTGTTTGTCTTTGTGTTGTCAGTATGTGGTGTTTTATATCTGACTTCTTTCACTTAGCATAATGTGTAGTGTTTTCCTTTTGATAGCTGCATTACTTTTTATCGTCTGCCTATATGTATGTACTATAATTTAGTCAGCCATTCTTCTAACATCATGGTTTGTTGGGGTGTTGGTTTTTGGTAACAACAGTGCTGCAGTGCCCAGCCTTGCATTTGCCTCATTATGTGCAGGTACTTTGGTTTCTGTAGTATTAATACCCAGAAGGTGATCACCATTCACATGCCCACCAAAATGCTTCCCCACCACAGGCTCACCAAGTTCTACTTTGTGTTACTCTGATAGGTAAAAAGAAGATGCTATCTTATTTTTGTTTTGATTTCCTTTTTTAACCTTTTTAAAAATCACTGACTTGGTGAAACCCAGGTGAAATTGTGCACTGCAGATTAGTAACTAAGCCCATGCATACCTTGCTTATTGGGTAGTCCGTCCCTGGTTAGCGCACTGCCTCTGCTCACATAGCAAGTGAGATGAAGAGTGGGAATCCACGAGGCCATCCAGCTCTGAGCCTGTGCACTTAACCACTGCAGTGCAGGGACTGATGAACATGTGACACTCTCGGAGACCACACAATACTTGGTGTAGCTCAGACTGTATCTGTGAAGAGTATCATCCTGGGTGTTTGCTTCCTCAGCTTGCTCTCTTACCCACCATTGTGCTTTGGAGACTCCCCATGTGGATCATTGACCTCCAGCTTGTTCGTTTCATTGCTGTATGGTATTCTGTTGTATATTCATCCCCTACTGATGGGCATTCAGCTTGTTTCCAGTTTTTTCGCAGTTCTAGGCTGGGCCTGAACTTGAAACGGACTTTCTAGACATGGGGAATGCATACTGTCAGCTTCACTTGTTGTTGTTAGTTGCTATTAAGTTGGCTCCGACTCATCACGACCTGATATATAACAGAACAAAACGTTGCCTGGTCCTGTGCCATCTTCCCAGTCTTTGGTATGTTTGAGCCCATTTTTGTAGCTATTATGTCAGTCCATCTCATGGCAGACTTCCCTTGTTTTTGTTGACCTTTTGGTTTACCAAGCATGATATTCTTTTATAGCGATTGGTCTTTCCTGATGATGTGTCCTAAGTAAGTAAACCAAAGTCTCGCCATCCTCGCTTCTGTACAGCCAGAATGCTCAACTTCTCAGTAAAATTGCCTTTTAGAACATATGTCCCACCGACACCTATCCAACAGTGTAAGGTCATTCCTGTTGCCCCACATACTTAACAGCAGTTGGTATCTTCAGACTTTAAACATTTTATCTCTCTGAAATGATGTCTCACTATTTTTCATTTCTGGATTTCTAGTGAGTAGACTGTTTCCTCATATGCTTTGCGAGACGTCCGTGAATTCTGTTTAGCTCCTATGACCATTTTTTCTGTTGTTTTTCTTAATTATTTGCCAGAGCTCCATGCAGAGAATTCACACACATTTCATGGAGCAAATCCAAATTTTCTTCTTAATGGTTTCTGGTTTCCTGTCATGCTTACAATCTCTATGCCATCCAAGGATTTACAAATTTTTTCCCCCAAATTTTTCACATTTTGATCCTTAACTTCATGTGGAATGAAGGGTAGTTTAATTGTATTACTGTTTCTTGTGGAGGCTGATAACCATTTAAAAGTGTAAACCACCTTTAGAACTAAAAGCAGAACCAAACCTTCTGTAATCCCAGAGTGGTACACACTACTTTTCCTGGCCATCTGTTACGCTCCTGGCAGTTGTGTAACAAAGCCCTGTCTCAGACTTGACAGTCTCCTTGTGGGCTGGCCTGCCCTCCCTCACCTGACTGTGCTGACATGGGCCTGAGGAGTGTGGCACCACACCTCTGTCCCATTCAGTCACTCCCCCACAAATGCTTGCATGATGTGAACTAGAACGTCCTCCTTTGGTTTAGTGATTCTGAGTTCTTCGTCTACCCTAATGCCCTCTCTGCAGTTTAGGTCAGGTTCCTATGGCCCTCATGTCTTTGAATAGAGAACAATTGGTCAGCAGCAGCTTAGGAATGAGCCCACCCACTCTTGCTGCCTGTGGCTGCATCCCCGTTTCTCCTTCATTCCGACTAGTCCCTGCAGATACACGGAGTCCTCCAAGGGGGTCTTCCTCACTCCTGTCAGTGCCCACTGGCTCCTCCCTTGTACCTAGCTTCTAAAGAGTCAAAGGAGGTCTGATGGGCCTGGAGAGCATGTTTTCTGGTAATGAGGGGAGCAGAGGCAGGGTTGGAGCATGAAGAGCATTGTCTTAGGCTGTGTTCTCTACAGAAGCAAAACCAGTAAAGCATATAAATATATATATAGAGAGAGATTTTTATCAAGGAAATGGCTCACGTGGTTGTAGAGACTGAACATCCCAAGTCTGTGGGTCAGAATAGAGGCTTCTCCTGATTCACGTAGCCATAGGGGCTGACGAATCCAAGATCAGCAGGTCAGAGAACAGGGCTCTTGCTCACAGGCTGTGAAAATCGATTAATCCCAGGATTGGTAGGCAAGACCACAGGTAAGCTGCTAGTTCAAGTCCCAAGAATCGGAGGTCAGATGAACAGGAGCTGGATGAAGGATCCAGTGCAAGCAAAAAGCTCAGGAGCCTTGCCAGAATGTCCCCTTATATTTGATGCATGCCCCACCACCAACGAAACTCTCTTTCAACTGATTGGCTACTCACAGCAGATCCCATCATGGAGGTGATCACATCATCATATGATTACCAAACCACTGAGAATCATGGCCCAGCCAAGTTGACATACAACCTTAACTATCACAAGCATAGAGACCATCTGGGGTGGCCACGGGTTCTAAGGTGGGAGCTTGGAGCACCTGGAGGAGGTGGGAGTACTAGGCTGTGGAGGAGCACAGGGGTGAAAGAATAAGATTGTGAGGAGCATGTGTGAGTCATTTTAGGACCTTCCTGACACTTGGAACTGGAGTGACTGAGTGGGTGAGGGCAGTAACTCCCACACTCAGTGATTGGTGTCGGCGGAGGGGCAGAAGCAAGTTAAGCGTGGGAGAGCAGAGAGGGAGCAAGGTGGTCCTGAGGTGGGAAGGGGTGGGAGGATTCAGGCTGAGGACAGTGAGTGGCCTTTCTTGGTTCCTCGGGGACAGAACTTGCTGGTAAGTAAAAGGTTTCCTTCCTTACAGTGTAATGATGGTTTCCATTATAACAATGATGGTTTCCATTATAACAATAACTTACAGTTGTCCTTTATATTTTTGTAAATAATTATATTTGGCAAGACTTTCAAACTTAAAAATTTGAAAGAATAGTACAAAGAACTACCATGTAACTTTCACCCAGAAACTCTTCATTGAACCCATGGTCATGAGTCTTTGTCTCTCCTTCAGCCTGTAACAGTCCCTTGGTCTTTCCTCGAGTTTCATGCCCTTGACAAATTACAGGGCAGTCATTGTATAGAATGTCCCTCAGTTAGGTTTGCTGTACTGCTTCCTCATGATTACACCCAGGTTATGGCTCTCAACCCACACCCATCACATGTACTGTAGTGGCTTGCATGTTGCTGTGATGCTGGAAGCTGTGCCACCAGTATTTCACATACCAGTACGGTTACCCATGGTGGACAGGTTTCAGCAGAGCTTCCAGACTAACACAGACTAGGAAGAAAAGCCTGGCAATCTGCTTTAGAAAATTACCTAATTAACATCATGGATCACAACAGAATGTAGTCTGATATCGTGCTGGAAGATGAGCCCCCTCCGTTGGAAGGCACTACACAAGAGCCACAACGGACACAGACATACCAATGATCATAAAGATGGCGTAGGACTGGGCAATGTTTTGTTCTCTACATAAGGTTGCCACGAGTTGGAGCTGACTCGATGGCAGGTAACGACAACATGGCTCACAACACAGCATCTTGTCACTGTATCCTGTCGGGGGACACACAGTGCCGACTTATCCCATTACTGGTGGTGTGTACTTGTAGCACTTGATTAGATTGTATCTGGTCCCTAAGGCTGTCCCCAGTGTCAGTGATTCACCAGGAGGACTCACAGGACTCAGCACGTAGTCATACTCAGGGCTACAGTTTAGGACAGTGAAAGGACACAAAGCAAAATCAGCATAAGGAAAAGGTGCCTGGGGCGAAGCCCAGCAGAAACCAGAACAAGCTTCCAGAGCCCTCTCCCAGCAGCATTGCCTAGGACGAACTCAGTTCTTCCAGTTACCAGCTGTGCCAACATGTGTGAAGTGTTGTCTGCCAGGGAAGCTCCTTAGAGACTGCCCAGGGTTTTGACTGGGGGTTGGTCACATAGGCACCCTCTGCCTAGCACATACCAAAATTCCAGACTCCCAGAAGGAAAGCAAGTGTTCGTCATAAACTACATGGTATTTACAAACATTTCCAACACAGGAATGATGTGAACCCTCCCAAAATCCAAGTTCCTGGATGTCAGCCCAGGGCCGACCTTGCAGACGGCTCTTCTGTCTTGGGCCTGCTGGTTAGCTCTTTTTTCTGCAGAGATAATAGACGTTAGGTTTCTCTACCCTAAGGCTGCTTTTTTTCTCAGGACTTGACAAGTGTCTTGTGTGGAGCTACTCTGAGACTGACTGCCCCAGCTTCATCCCTCCTCACCTGCTGTTTTCACACCCCCTGTGGAAACCCTGGTGGCACAGTGGTTAAGTGCTACAGCTGCTGACCAAAAGGTCTGCAGTTCGAATCCACCAGGCGCTCCTTGGAAACCCTATGGGGCAGTTCTACTCTGTCCTGTAGGGTCGCTATGAGTTGGAATCAACTCAACGGCAATGGGTTTGGTTTTTTTTGGTTGGTCTTAGCAGTTTCCATGATGGTTGCCAAATGACAATCCGGCTTCCATCATTCCTTCTACGGTTATTAGTTGTCATTCCACTGTAGGGAAGAGCTTTCTTTTGTCCCCATTTATTCATCTTTTTATTTATATCAGTGCGATGCATGGATTTATTCAGTGGGTTATAATTAATATTATTGTATTTTATTTTGATGCTCACCAATTCCCAGTTCCCTGGCCCAGGCAGGGTCTGTAAGTCAGGGCTTTGCTGCAGACAGCCGCTAGAGCACAACTTCCCATATGCATCTCAACTCAGCATTTCAAGGAATTGGTGGTGGCTGGAGGTCACCGAGGTTAACCCTTCCATCATAAGGCCCTTAGCAAATATGTGGATCACTCTGATATGGCTTCTCGTTCTCCAGAACTGCCCTCTGGTCATACAAGGATCATACCCAAGGCCACCCAAGGGGATGGTTCCAGGGTGAGCGAGCATGTGCGTGTCATTTCAGGAATCGGTTACATTCAAGGATGTGGCTGTGGACTTCACCCAGGAGGAGTGGGGTCAGCTAGACTCCCCCCAGAGGGCCCTGTACCGGGATGTGATGCTGGAGAACTACCGGAACCTTCTTGCCCTTGGTAAGATGGCTCCCTGGGCTCGGAGCCAGCTCTCGGGCATTCTTCCGCGGAGTAGATGTTACTGAGCCTCTCCTCAGTGCTGCCCTGTGCTGGGCACCACGAAATGTGGGAGGCATGGCTCTCATTGCCTTGGGGGCCCACATGTGCCAGAACCGCCCCCACCCAGGGAAGCACAGCAGCGGCCTGCACCCTGGCGTGGGAGAGGGGTGCTGTGAGAAGTGCTGCGGCCACAATTGGGCCCAGGGGGCAAGGAACATGGGGGAGGGAGGCCTGCTGGTGGAGGATGTTGGGACAGAGGGGACTTGGAGCCCAGCCTCCCTCAAGTGAGGTGCAGGGCAGCTTCAGTAAACGGGGGTCCTCAGAGCATATACATCATCCTGGGGTCTGCATCAGTCCCCCCCAAGCACTTTGGGGCCCAGAGGCCTCTGCCTTCTGCTCCCAGGAGGCTGGTGTCAAAGCACAGTGCTGGAGGTGGCCCTGTGCCTGCCCAGCATCCACAGGCTCCTGCCCATGGGACCCTCCTGCAATGTCTTCTCATTTCGCAGTGTGGTGGCTGGGGTCTGGGGCCTGCCGAGCAGCAGCTCAAATAGCTGCTGGCTTTCTCCCCATGAGCAGGACCTCCAGTCTGCAAGCCAGACGTGATATCCCACCTGGAGCGAGGCGAGGCCCCGTGGTGCTCACAGAGAGGAGGCCATGCAGCTGCCTGTCCAGGTGAGCGGCAAGCACTGGGGAGCCCCTGATAGCCTCTCCCCACCCATCCCAGCTGCCAGGCTCCTCTCCCCAGTCCCTCCGCCCTGGTTCCACGTGTGCTTTCTCAGTCCCCTTTTAGGCCCTTCCTTTCTTCCATCCCTTCCCTCGACACACATATCAAGCACCATTTGTGTGCCAGGAATACAGCAGTGAATAAAATGGACAAAAATATCTGCCTTCTAATGGTGGGAGATGGAGATAACACCTAATGCATATAAATATTTAACAAATGTGGCTTGTTAGACAGTGCCAAGAAAAATAAAGCAGAGCGGGGGTGGGCAGTGTGTGGAACTGGAGTTTTAAGCCTAATGGTCAGGGCATCGCTCCCTGAGCTGGAGACGTGTAGAGCTAGATGGGAGATGGGCCCAGGTCAGTGAGGGCCATGGAGTGGGGCTCTGAGCAGAAGACTGCCATGGCCTTAGGTTTTCTTCTCTAACATTTTCTTTTTTATAGACTTTCCTTCTGAATACATGAATAATAATAAATTAATTAATTTCAACTTAGTGAACAGTGAATGCTGAGTATATTAAAAACCAGTTGCTGTTGAGTCAGCTCCAACTGATGGTACCCCCATGTGTGTCAGAGTAGAATTGTGCTCCATAGGGTTTTCAATGGCTAAATTTTTGTAAGTCGATCACCAGGCCTTTCTTTCGAGGTGACTGTGGGTGGATTCAAACCTCTAGCCTCTGGGTTAGCAGCCGAGCATGTTCACCATTTGCATCACCCGAGGACCTGAGTATGTTAGGTTCCTGGGCACACTGAGAACCAGCTCTGCTGCAACTTCCCGTTTACAGTAGCCAGAGCAATCTCCGAGGCACATGCCGATAATCGCGTCACCCCTCGTATAGAGACATCTTCCTTCCCTGGCTCGCTCAGCTCTAGGTGCCCCATGACCTGGCCCCTTTGCCTCCCCACACTCTTCTGTCTCACCATCTCATCCCTGAGCTGTTGCAGGTTTGGGCTTTCTGCTGCTCACCCTCCCTCCTCTGGAAACTTCTTTCCCAAGCTCCCCAGGTCCTGGCTGTCCCTGGAGCACTGCAATGACAGCAGTGCTCTGTGCTCCCGCAGGCTCGTCTACCCCTTGCTTCCCCCATGCTGGACCACAATCCTGGAGGGCATGGGGAAGGTATCATTAAACTTAGACTCTCCCACCAACCCAGAAAGCCTCTCTGCAACAGTAGAAGAGAAAGAAAACCATTGCATTATTGAATCAGCATTAAACCAAACTGTGATGTGTATCACAGGCAGTTGCGAAAGAGATTGCAAAGACAATAAAAATCTGACCTTTTGTATAAAACCAAAAACCAAACCAGTTGCCAATGAGTCGATTCAGACTCATGGCAACCCCATGTGTGTCAGGGTAGAACTGCACTCCATAGGGTTTTCAATGGCTGCTTTTTGGGAAGTAGATTGCCAGGCCTTTCTTCTGAGGTACCTCTGGGTGGATTCAAACCTCCAACCTTCCCGTTAGCAGCCGAATGAGTGTTCACTGTTTGCACTACTCTTTTTTTTTTTGGCTTTAACAGACAGAAATTTATTTATTTATTTTTCTTTTTTTTTATATTTTATTGTACTTCAGGTG